CGCATGGCGGCAGCAGACTTAACGGCATGGAGAATGGAGTCCTCGACACGGTCCCCGGGGGGTTCTCGCGTGGTGCGGTTGTCAACTCTGCTCCCGCCGCACCTGTGTGGGTGCTCACGTTCGGGGTTCCAGGCCGGTGCGCGCGTGGTGCGCTGGCCGATGTCGTTGGTCTGCTCATAAGGGGCCAGGCAGATTAAATCCCACACGCGCTTGGTGTTCCCGCTACGGCTGTCGTCTGAGTCTGCCGTGTCTGCGGCAGCAGCGGGCCGGCCCCCGAGCCCGGTGTCGTGGTGGGTGCAATGAGTACGATGTTAACGAAAACCCGTTCGGTACGCCGGTGTCATTCTGCGGGGCCCGATACAAACTTTCAAGAAACAGAAGGAAAAAAAAATGAAAAAACACAGCACTCACTTGTAGTCCGCTTCTCTCGACCCGACCCCGGGCTGCAGCCAGTTCTCCTCGAACAGGAACACTCCGGTTGCGGTTGGCTCGGCGAGAACGTAACCGTTGGCGTCGGACTCCTCCAGCCGAGGCATCTCCGACGGCGGCACGTCCACCCCGTCCACGTTCTCGATCCGCATACGCACGGGGCCCCTGCGGGCGGGGGGGGCGAGGGCGGCAAGGAGCGACCGACGGGAGGGGAGGGGGGGGGGGGGGGGGGGGGCTTTTTTCCCCCCAATTGGGGTCCCCCAAGGGTGTTATGCACCCTGGTTTTAGAATTATTTTTGCCCGGGATTTTTTTTTCCTCCGTCCGTCTGCCTTCCGTGCAAAAAATTTTTTTCGTCCTAAATGGCTTCCTCCTGGGCCTTTCATTGTTTGACAAAACAACCCAACGTTTCCAACAAAAAAAACCACCGCTGACCCCCCCAGAAAAATTCCCCTCCCCTGGTATATTTCCCTTCTCCCAACCCTCCCAAAAAGCCCCTCCCGCCCTGGTGACCGTTCCTTCCCCAAACCCAAAACCACTAAAAACCCAATAACAGCCACCACCACCACAACCAAAATTATGGCCACCTCAGGCTTTTCCCAAAAAAACCCCCCCTTAAAAAAAACCAAAAAAAAAAAAACGCTTCTTTCTTTTTGGTTCCCGCGAAGTTTCCCCCTCAGTTTTTTGGCGTTAAACGGAAAATTTTTTCCACCCCCTTCCTT